GCTTTGCTGTTTGCTTAAGACATTGAAATGGGGCTGGAGATGAGGTCCTCCAGACTGATCCGGTCGCTTTGCTGTTTGCTTAAGACATTGAAATGTGGCTGGAGATTAGGTCCTTCCGACTGATTCCGTCGCTTTGCTGTTTGCCTAAGACATTAAAATGGGGCTGGAGATGAGGTCCTTCAGACTGATCCCGTCGCTTTGTTGTTTGCCTAAGACATTGAAATGAGGATGGAGATGAGGTCCTTCTGACCGATCCGGTCGCTTTTTTGTTTCCCTAAGACATTGAAATGAGGCTGGAGATGAGGTTCTTCTGACCGATCCGGTCGCTTTGATGTTTGCCTAAGACATTGAAATGAAGCTGGAGATGAGGTCTTCCTGACCGATCCGGTCGCTTTGCTAAGTCAGTCCGTTTTGCTTGTTGAAAAAGGTCTGACTCTTCTCCTTGTGATAATAGTCCAGGCTAGGTGTGTTAGTGATTGGATGGGGTTGACTGAGAACAACTCGAAAAGTTAATCAACTAAGTAAGATACAGGACTAATATTTTTGTGATTAGAACAAGGGAAAGATGAAAAATTTAAATGAACGAACCCTTATTTTGGCTGAATGCGTAGTAAACATGACATGCTTGTTGGCAATGTCTTGTCTTTTGCTCAAGCTCTGTCTGTCTTCTGCATTATAGGGTAGTCTGTTAGTGCTAGCCTTATGCTTGAGCGATAGACAGGCAGATGCTCACCTTTGTTTATCGCATTTGTCTTCTTATGCATGATTGTTTTTTATAGGACTTTGGATAGCCTCTGAGATAGTGAAAGTTTTGGGAGCCTTTTTCCCTTAGGGGAAGTGCTGCCGAAATTTCTGCTAAACATTCAGGGTTAGTCAAGTCTCGGAGATGTCAACTAGGATAGGATATAGTTTGGTCTTTTGGAGTCAATAAGAATTCTAGAAACCTTCCTTTCAAAAAGAAGTGCTGCCAAAGAGTTAGCTTATTTTCAGATATTTTCTAAGTCTCGAGTTTTCTTTTTAGATTTGGTATAATAAATATTTTGCGTGCACACTTCCCTAAAGGAAGTGTTGCCGAAATTTTTGGGATTATCATATCGTTACCGGACGCTGCTGCTAAGTAGCTTAGAGTGCGTTACGGAGTTGAACTCCGTGAACTCGACAGGCGATGCCTGCCTTTATTATTTTGGCGAAGGTCATTGCTACCTTCGAGAGTTTTTTCGAAGTCTTGAGCTTCATCAACTTCTGCTATCACCTGATAGCAGGTCGGTTTGCGACTCAAGTCCTACCCACCATAATACCCACACCCAAATGTCTGTGACCCTGTAGGCGAAAGACATTTCCGTGTGAAAGAAAACCTTCCCTTGGTACCTCTCTTGAATGACCATCCAAAAGCTGTACGAATCGGGACGGGCGGATATGCCTTTGTTGAGTGGGGATTGGAAAGGGGCGTGTGGGATATGAATCTGGGAGCAGAGGAGTTGACCACATTTTGTGGCATCTGCGTGTGGATTTTCATTGGATTCCATGTGTGTGGAGGTATGTGTGGGAGCGATGACTCGTTCTTGAATTAAGGGTGATATAGGTGAATGAATGAAGGGTGTGAGGGACAAGATTCAACTATGGCTGTGAGAATGACTCTCCCTGATTTCCCCCGAGACTCGCCCTTGTCTTTCTCTTATTTCGCTTTTGCCGCATGCATCTAGCAAACAGGCAATACTAGCCGAGCGCAAGGTTTAGCGCTCGGCCTTAGATCAGACTGAGACTTAGTTTGGGTACGGCTAATTGCTCGCCAACCCGTGATTACTTGTATTTTCCTTCCGCAGGGGAAGGACGAGCGTACCTCGTCTCAAAGGGGGTTTGTTTTTTTCGATTATTAGTCGGACGTTGGTCCTGAGCCTGAAATTTGAGGTCCTTGTCCAGGACATCCCAGGCTCTGATCCAGCACAACGAGGTTTCCCTCTTGAGCCGGACCTGCGCCCCTTGCTTACTGTCACCCACTGCCGTAAAGACAGGGGTGCCGCATGGGCCGAACGACTTATCCTTCAGCCGTGCAACATCGTGAAGGAGAAACCCTTCACGATATTTCGCTTTCAATACTTGAGTATCGTACGCCACCTCGGAACCCATGAGAGGTTGCGCGGATGTGGGTAACGTATGAAGCGTCGCCATGATTGTAGGTCAAGTGAGCACACATGACTGAGCGTTATGGTTCCCTTGGCAGTTGCATTCTTTTTATGCAACTTTGTGTGGGATTCACTCCGACACATTGGCAGTTCTGAGTTATGGGTCAGAACGTATGAAAAAGGGACTAGGCATTTTGTTTGTCTGAATTATTTTTTGTCATGTACCGCGTGGTTGAGCTTGGATGTCCTAGTCGACCGATGCTGAATCGCACGTGGGAGATCAGCCTCCCAGCGTGACGGTTCACGTACGGGTTCGAGCTAGGCGTGGACCGCGCGTACCCCCTATGCTACAGCATACGAGAAACGCCCTCGGCTGGGCCACCTCCTAGATGGCAAGTAAGAACTTTCGCGTGTGGCTCGGTAGCTCGACGGGGATAAGCCCACCCAAGGGATGGTGACAGCTCTCGCGAGTGGAGGTAAGTTGTACCTCGCGAGACCCTGTCCTGTCGTAGGGACTCGATGGAGGTATAGCTGGCGCACTCGGCCGGAGCGGTTCTGTCGCTTCCCTTTGTGAAGCGACTTGTGAATCTGCCAATCCTGTGTGATGCGGTCGGGAAGGTCCCACACCAGCAGGGCACCGTGCGCTCGACAGGTGGCGTCGTTGCCGGGGATCTCGGCTGCCTACTGAGGCCATAGTGAACGAACTTGGGTTTAGTGCAGAACGATGATCCAGGCAAAAAGACACTTTTCTTTTTTGTGATTAGGGAAATGATATAGTGTGTTTTGGCTGTCATAATCAGGAACGCTAAGTATTAAGACTTCGCGTGGAGTGGGCGAATTCGTAGTGTGATTGTATGGTGGTGTGGATGCTTGTGAATGAGTGCCGAACGTTTAAATTTAGTAGTAGGACACAACCTCTTAAGGTTTAGGTTGGACTAGGTATAAGGGTTTGTTAGAGTAATTAAGTTGACCTTGTATAAGTGTTGTATATTAACAGGAAACCGATTGACAGAGTACGAGATGGCGAGACAGGAGGATGAGCGACTAGCCACGTTTTCGATACTGGACCCATTCCGTTACAGGGATTGACATGTATTTCCATTTTTTGACGGATTAGTTAGGCAGGTTTGGGTTATTGGGTTAGATTTCGCTCAGATGACAGAGAGAGTTAGGGGTACTGGCAGCTAAGAGGAGTGTGTGGCTCAGATCGTGAGAGAGTCATTGGATTGGAGGCAGTTCGCCAAGTGGATGCTGAGATTGCGGCCTCAGCCCATTGATCGACAGGGTAGGCCCATGCGGTTTGATGGGGCCAACCTGGATGAGTTCCTTGAGGCTTTCATCATTTTTGGGGATGGGCAGAGATGGACCGAGGCGTAGAGGGTTAAGCAGATATAGCACTGGGTTGTCCCGGATCTTAGACATGAGGTGAGTACCATGTCACACACAGCGCAAGCTTGGGCAGAGCTTATAGCAGTGCTTAGAGGGGCGTTCACCGCTGACAGACGACGCAGGCTGCGCAGAGAGGTTGGGGATTACATCCCTGAACTCAGGGTACGCCCGCAAGCGCAGTTAGAGAAGGATGAGAACGATGAGGGGCGATTGCGACAGCAGCAGAGAGAGAGTGAGCAGCCAGAGACTCCACGCAGGCCTAGGACAGGCAGGCGCAAAGGACGTCAGGATCGAGGGGATGATTTGGAGGAGAGGGATCAGGTGCTAACTAGTGATGTTGGGAAGGTGCTCCCCACAGATGATTTGGGGGAGGGGACCTTACCAATAGGATCTCAAAGGCAGGACGATTCATCTATCCCTGAGATTGGGACATCACTAGTACCAGAGACATGCCTGGCTGAAGTAGGGATCAACGACTGTGATCCTAGAGGTGCGCCTGATGTGGATGAGGGTGTTCAGCCTATGATCAGACAGGATGGGGAGGTGGCTACCCCACAGCTTGTGTTGACGATTGCTTCGGACTGGCCTACAGAGACAGATACCATGGAGGGAGTGGTTCCCAATACTGCATCGGAGAGGCCTTATCGATGGAGAGACACACGGGACATGGCATTAGATCTCCCACAAAGGGAGCTACCACTTATGATAGGGCCTGCCACTATAGTACCGATGCAGGAGCACGAGGAGCCTCATCCTGAGTGGCCGCGAGAGACGACGCCTATGCATGATGAGCTAGGGCATGGTGGGCAGAGGGTCCAGTCTCGGTCAGAGCCGACAGTGGAGGATGGTGAGAGAGGTGCGATGGGATACTCATCATTGGACGGATCGTCGTTACTGAGCGAGAGTCGATTGGCTGAGCAGCCGACTGAACCTGAGGGTTCATTGACTGCCCAACTGTATGACATGGAGTCTCCTAGGATGCAGATGCGACAGGAGATATCCCAGCCCTCGCCCATGGACACGGAGACAAAGTGAGTTGAGACCGAGGTTTTGGGGCTAGATAGAGAGGGTCTCATGGAGGACATGCAGACCCAGCGAGTGGAGACGTCACCACTAGACTTTGGGGATACTCCTCGACGAGACGGTGATAGGAGTGAGGCCAGCATGGGGGGCCACGTTGAGGCAGGCCCGGAGCATCCTCAGGACGCATCTCCGACTTATGAGGAGGGGAGTCTGCCGGAGTCTCGGGGACCGATAGATCACGAGCCTGTCATAAGGGATGCATGGCTAGCCGAGGAGATGAGACGGATGCCATCATTACATTTTCCAGGCTGGCTGGCTTTTGAGCGACTGGGCCAGGCCGCGAGACCGCACTTGCCGGTTGATTAGACCACTGGTGGGCTCAGGGTACTGTATGATGACTTAACCTTGCAGAGGACCTGTATTGGTAATGGCCTCCCAGCGACTCGACAGGCAACAGAGCAGGTTCGGGATTACACGAGGAGAGTTGTCATCCGATCCTTTGAGTTGAGTCGCGACAGATAGACGGAGCACGATATACTGAGAGAGGTGGTGAGTGATCTCTGCACGTTTGTTGAGGGAAGGGAGACCCAGACTCTAGAGGAGGCCGAGGCGGTCCTCAGGATTCAGGAGAGAGAGACGAGTGATTGGCGAGCCCAGGTTCAGAGGGTGCGCAGGGAGTATGAGCCACCTGCTGACGCGACGGACAGGGATAGGCTCGAGCGCATGGTTGTCCTTGAGACCGTGCGATCATCTCAGTTGGAGAGCCAAGTATCGACTCTTGTTAGGTTACGGCGAGAGACCGAGGAGCAGACACAGAGGCTCTTCTATGAGGAGGCAGCCACAGCCGGATGGCAGGAGGAGGTTAGGATGAGGAGACGGACAAGAGACGAGCCTATGCCTCAGGGCGAACGTACGCAGGCGGAGGAGGGGCTCCATGCGAGATTATTATCTGACGCCTCAATACGAGAGTTGGCAGGCGTGATGGAGCATGTCAGGAGAGTCACACAGACCGAGGTTACGCGAGGGGAGGTGCTCCATGATGCGGTACGAAGGATAGGTGTTTTGGAGCAGGAGAACAGGGGACTGAGAGACATGGTACGTAACCTTGTCACTAGCACAGAGCAGGCGAGACAGTCTACCTCGAGACTCGCGCAGAGGATTACTGACCTAGAGGAGGGTCAGAGGCGTCAGGCCATGGAAGGTCTGGTCAACGAGAGGAGGACTGAGAGGCAATAGACTTCTATCGGATAGGCACACGTCTCTCATGAGGTAGAGCCAGGGGGAGTGAGATTGGACATCCCTCCGCGAGACTCGCAGACGGAGGAGCCAATCAGGGCTATAGGGATGACATGTGAGGAGGCTGCAGTCGTCGACAAGCTCATGCTTGAGCCAGACGAGATCGAGAGGAGGAGAGAGGCAGAGGCACGTGGTATGGACTGGGTTCCTCCCTCAGAGTTAGTTGTTCAGAGGGACGCATGGAGAGAGGTGGATGGTAGACACGACGAGCGAGAGAGGGTTTTCGAGTCTCGAGATGTCATTCTACAACAGGTTGCAAGCGGATCAACGACAGTACTGCCGATGACTCTGCCACTTACACCAGCTCCAGCTATAGGGCCGATGGACGATATAGTGCACCTCCTTTCGTCGGGGACTGAGGGATGTGACAAGGAGGTGACAACTGAGAGGGTCTCGAGGATGTTGAGCCTTGATACAGTGGATAGAGCCGTACAGGATGTGACAATCCGACTCGAGAGCGCACGGCCCCAGATCCTACCCAAGCCTAAGAAGGCAAAGGTAGAGGACAGCAACACCAGTGACATGTGCTCGTGGTGTGGTAGAGGAGTGCATGACAAGGTTGCTTACCCCACCTTTCAGGATGACCTTAGGAGGCGAGTCGTGCAGTTCGACGGACAAGGGTGAGTCAGAGACATGCGTAGCGTTCTTTTACCACAAAGATGTCATGGTGCTAGGAGAGCAGTGTATAACAGGCTAGGCCTGGAGCTCAGAGAGGGTGAGTGACATGTTATATATTCATGAGACACACGAGAAGCCAGACTATGAGATCAGAGAGGAGATAGACGACGATGAGGGGGCTATTATGGAGGATAGATTGTTGGACTCATTCCATATTGTTACCTTCTACTTTGAGGGCTCCGAGACATGGACTTGTATTACGTTATAGCTTGTATATTGAGAGTTTTGACTTCAGATTTCAGGACACGAGCCGTGTACTATATGTAGTTAGTGATGAGGTTTGACTCGCGTTTTAGTAGACTGTACATACATGATAACCTACTAGTTTTAGTAGGTTGGTTTGAGTAGGGGTTTTAGAAATTGCCATGGGCATGAAAGGCCAGTTTTGTTTGAGTTTTGTGTAAGATTGGTGTGAGATTGGTGTGAGTTTGGTGTGAGTATATGTCTGATATGAGTATGACTTTCCAGGGTAAGTCCTTGAGTTAACGAGTGTCTTTGAGAGCTACATTGTTTCATTCAGAGACATTGCTCCAATTTTCGGATACTAATACCCATTTAAGACGTTCGATTTTTCATGATTGATTCTGAGATTTGGAGCGCATTGCACAAATATATCATGCAAGACATGATGTTGTGCAATATTTTCTTATTTCTATTTTATGACTTATTGTTGGATCGATTTAGAGAATTTAAGGCGTGTGAGTCTCGTATGGAAAACAGGGAGCCATGTGATATTCTCACAGTGTGGATTTGTACTCGCTTCTCTTGCATCTGTGATGTTTGTTATTGTTTATCGGTTGTGGGTAAGTTGTTTGATTGTTAAACAAGTGATTACTGACCTTGATTCTATATGAATCAATGTGGGAGAATCAGTGAAAAATTGTTCGATGGAAATGCATGGAAATTGCTTGGACCGAAAAGGCAGCCCAAATGTTTGATGGAAGGGGTTTCGTTTTGAGGAGCCACCTGTTTATGCATGTGAGATGAAAGCATAAATGTTTTATTATAACTTGTTTCATGAAGATCGATAAAGCTTTGATTTTTTGCAGAAAACTGTCAGTGGATAACCAAGCTTGAGAAAATGTCTATATGCTAAGGGGTTTCTTCGGAAGAGAAAGAAACTTGTTTATGAGGCTCTGGGGTCAGCAGTCGCATATGCCATGATAAAGCAGAACGACTGCAAGCATTGAAAGATGGCTCAAGAGTATTTTGGGAGGTCTGAGCCGGGGGCTAAATCGACATCGTTGGGGCAACCCCCAACGTGGGTTGTTGTCTCGCCTAACCAAGACAGCGGACCCCTAGCTTAACCTGAACTTAGAGACGGAGGGGCGGCCCACACCATCATCCATAACATATAATATATATAAGCAGGGTATTATGATTACTATTATTATTTACTACTTATTATTATTATTATTTATGATTTATGATTTTTATTATTATTATTCTCATTCCTATTATTATTATTATTACTATAATCATATGGGAGAGCTAAATAATTAAGCCAAGTATCGGGTCACTCCAAAGACTCTAACTAGGGCAACTTTTAGGGGGTACTTAGGTCCAAAGGTCAGAGAGTCGCCTTAGCATCGTGCAGACAATGTAGGCAACATCGCTGCTTAATCGCACAATGAACAGTGGTTTGGCCCGATCAACCAGACCATGGTGGGCTGAGGGCAGGACTATGACCCACCTATGACTAGACGCAAGGTTGGTCTAAGTTTGATTTAAATTGCATGGAGTGAGCTACGTGCAACACTGTGTCTATCACAAGTTGAGCTACTCAAAGGGGCGTGTTTTTGTATGGTAAGCCACCTAGAGGAGTATGCTGCTATGCTTTGATTTTGTTGAGGTACTCGAAAGGAGTGGGCTACCTGCGCTTGTTGTGTGCCGCTGTTTGTCCCACTCAGGGCAATTGTCTTGCCTAAAAAAACCGCGCCCGAAGATGACGGTTACTGGACAACCCAATTCAGACGGCACCCAATGAAAGTCGGAAGGCGTCTAGGACAAACGGAAGGAGCTGGTATTTGAACACTGAAGCTAACCTACGGCGGTAGTATAATGAAAGTATCCATGTAAGTCAGACAGGAGGCGCAGGTTGAACTCCTGCTCGCCATAGGGACGCCGCAGAACTAAAATACCAAACCCCAAGCTGAGTCCTTCCGACTATACGAATTTGGTTATCCATCTGCTCAGTCTATGCATTCACCTGTGATTTCGTTCATATTTTCTAGTCCCTACCCAAAGCGACGGGGACGTCCCTTAATGGGGTCTGGGAGGATTGTCGTAGCAAACACCCTTACAAGGGTATTTGCCGTCCTTTTTAAAGGTCGCACTGGGTGCATCCTTGAACAACGTAATGCGCTGATGGGGCCAATCCCGTCAGGACGCTCGCCTCGACAATCTCGCTCTTGGCAAGTCTCCAAGTCAAATACGATTGAATTAGAGAGTGTGTGGGGCACGCATTATTGCGTTGCACTGTGTTGTTTAGACTGCGGCGACACTAGGCCGACAGAAGGCGTCAAGCCATAGGGCCCGCTTACCATTTTTATAGTTTTCAGTTTGATTATATTTTTCTTTTCTTTTATAAAGACTAACTTTACTCCACGAACCGGCTCAACCTCTGGCGGGATGCGTTGCAAAGGAGATAAAGACCCTATTTAGTGTACGCGCAGGAAGATCATTGTGTTTGGCGACGCATGGAAAGACGCGGTGTTGGCAAATCTAGTATGGGGGGGTAAGTCGAAAGTTCGGCAAAATATGTCAAGCACCCGACGACCAGGATGCTAGATAGCTACGATCTTAGGCACGGGCGACATCTCGGCATCTTGAAACGGCCAGGAGGTTAGCCGATACGGCAAGGCGGAGTCCTGGTTTATGCGGGAAGGACCGACCACGGTTCCGTGATTATTCACATGCGGGTTCGCCCCTACTTAGTTCAGACTTGGGCTTCGCCCTACTGGTTACGATATCGGACTTTCGAGCGACAGGTTTGGGGTTTGAGGCCAGCAAGCATTGATGAAGCAAAGAAGCGCGACAGGCGGAGACTGAGGGTTCGAGGCTCTTAAGGGACTATCCCCCTTGTTTTTTTTCGGACGGACCCAAGCCTGGGTTCGACTGGCAAGACCAAGGGGGCGTCGGTAGGTCCTCGTCCTCTTCAATTCTACTATTTTTATTCCTGTTGGTTTATTTTTATTTATTTTTATTTTTCTTCATTTTCCCGTCTGTTGACCAGGCCGGAAACTGGGTCCGGGACCGACGACGAAGAAGTACCGCGAAGAAAAATGAAAAAGAGCTTCAAACAAAAAATTAAAGAATGTTGAAATTGCTGAACAAGGAGGGGAAGGAGAAAAGTTTTGCATCCTCACTCAACGGGGATGGAAGGCGACTGCATCACCGACCTCCTTGACGGTACGTGAGGCGCATGCCAGCATAGGTTGTTGTGACCGGCATTACAATAGGGAGCGATTGGAACACCTTCCCACGAGTGGCCGTCATGGCAGTCGAGAACCTCGAGCAAACACTTTTTTTAGCGGTGCCGTTCGGGGTCCTGCGTATTCGGGATGCTGATAAAGTTGCTCTATCCTACCCGTCTTGGTGCTCGAACAGATGGGGTCAACATGCGTGAGAGTCGGTGGGTGCATAGCCCACAGACCGAAAGAAACCCGAGTGGCGGGGGCACTTTGCAAGTGCACCACCCGCCAACCGCAATCTGCTGTGAGAAATCTGAGTGTGAATAGGCCTGTGGGACCAGCACCTGCAGACATAGCTTAGCTGGTACACCCGCGCACTGCTAAAAGTAGGCCTGTGGGACCAGCAGTTGAGGGCCTAGCTCATGTGGTACACCCGCGAACTGCTGAAAGTAGGCCTGTGGGAACAGTCCCACTGGGCCTAGCTCAGGTGGTACACCCGTGGACTGCTGAAAGTAGGCCTGTGGGAACAGTGCCAATGGGCCTAGCTTAGGTGGTACACCCGCGGACTGCTGAAAGTAGGCCTGTGGGAACAGTGCCGCTGGGCCTAGCTCGGGTGGTACACCCACAAACTGTTGAGAAAAACAGTCCTGCAGGAAATGTACCTACCCGAGCTCAGGTGGTACCCCCACAGGCTGTTGAAAAAACAGTCTGTGTGGGATGAGCACCTACCCAAGCTCAGTTAGAACACCCATGACCTGTTGAAATGCTGACGTGTGTTCAAATCCAGATGATCGAACTTGACGAGTAAAGTTGTAAGACTAACTGTTTCTGAACTGCCTGGGGCCGGTCAGCTTAACGATGGTACCTTAAGGCCAAAAAAAAAAAAAAAAAGAAAAAAAAAAAAAGGTTGGACTGTGCCTGTGAGAGGCGCAACCAGAATGGCACTATGGTAGGGGCATGCAGCAAGCTGACAAGCGACAGACTATTGGGTCTGCTGGCAACCGGTTCCATCTGTCTCTCCCGGGGAAGCTGAACTTCATCGGGTGAGTCTTCATTCGGACAAGCGGAGCCGTGGAGCAGCGCTAGTAACAAATGTGGACGCTAGCGGGAACGACGAGAAAAGGGAGAAGACGAAAGGGGGGATTGAGGTTGGTACGAAGAGAGAGCAGTAAGCTGTGGTGTAGGTGAGAGAGAGGAGGGGTAGAGCAAATAAGTAGTAAGAGTTGTATGAATCTGGCCAAGAACCGGACCAGATACACGAGGACAAACAGAAAAGTGACGACAGTGAAACGGATATGGCGGAGGCAAAAAGCCATAACTTACGGGTTTTCTGACGCGATGGGGCAAGACAAAGGTGGAACTTAAAGTTTTGAGGGGGGGGCGAATCAGAATCTGTAGTTAGATTGAAAAAAGGGGGAGTTTAGAAAGAGGTAGGAGTCGGAGAGAGAGAAAAGTCGAAAAAAAAACGGAAGCAAAAGTTGTGTTTCTTGCTCGTTTCTTACTGAAAACAAGCGAGGGAAAATGCTAATCAGGGAAGATGTTAATTAGGGGTATTTCGATCGGGCGAGTTCAATAGAGGCGCTAGTTTTTGTGTTAGATGAGTAGGTAGAGAGTTAGATGGGAAAGGGCATGCGCGGGAGAGACGAAGGGGAAAGAAAAAGAAAGAGCGAGAGAGAAAGAGACGAATCTCGGTCATTCCTTTACCGATTTTGACAGTCTAAGAGGCTAACTGAGGGTTTTGAAGCGGACCGGATCAAATGGCCACACCGGATTTTCAAACTGGGCAACGGCTTGGCCGGTAAGACCTGCA